AAAAAAAACTATGCTAACAAAAAACAGTATGTAAACAAATATATACAAACGAAACCAAACCCATTGCCATTGAGTCAATTCTAGCTCATAGCAACCCTACAGGACAGAGTAGAACCACCCCACAGGGTCTCCAAGGCTATAAACCTTAACTGAAACACACTGCCTCAACTTTCTCCCACAGAGTAGCTGGTGGGTTTGATTTACTGACCTTCTGATTAACAGTCAAATACCTTAACCACTGTGCCACCAGAGCTTCTCATAAACAAATATACTTAGTCTTATTTGTAGCTTCAGAGAAGTAGTTATACTATTACATAGTTCAGTTAGTTTTTAGCATACAATTTTCTAGCTGCACAAAGTAAAGCAGTTTTTAAAGGGTCCAAAGCAAAGTGAAAATGCTTTAAAATCTCCTTATCCTCTAATACTTCATATGTATCCCATTCATCTTTAAAAACAAAAGAATCTAGAGTTCTGGTAAGATGGTGGAGTAGGCAGACAAACTACACAGACCTTCTTCAACAAAGAAAAGGGGAAACAACACCAATGAAGAAGATAATCATGGAGCCCTGAGCTATGAAAGGAAGGATACACAAGTGGACTAAACTCCAACTACAAGAACCTGCATGAAAACACTGAAAAAGGAGACATATGGAGCTGTGGTCTGTCAGTGATCCTGACGGCACAGACAGCTTAGATATTGCCAAGTGGTGTTAGGACCCAAGAATTAACCTAAAAATCGGCCTTGCTAGCCAGGGGCTGCACAGAGGACCACACTGATGGCTGGTGAATAAAAGGGGAAGCAGTGAAGAGGAAGGTGGGCTGAGCTGTAGACTTTTAGCTGTCCGGAGGGTGCAGCCATTTTGAATGGATATTTAAAGCGATAGTCTTCTCTCTGATTTCAGGGACCTAAGGATAGGTTGAACTTGCCAGGGACTGCAAGGACATTGCTGACACAACTGACTGGAAATGTGTGATGTTCCCCTTGTTACTCTTACACCGCACACCCTCTTAGTGAACGGAGGTGCAGCCATCCCTCACTCCCACCCACCTTCTGGACTGGCAGGAATTCCATCCCAGTCTGTGTGCTCTGACAGAGCCTGGGAGCTCTGCTCTGCCCAGATTTTTTTTTTTTCCTATTTTTTTTTAGTTTGTTTATATTTATCTGTTTGAAAATTATTTTCTTTCATCCTTTTTATTATTATTCTTTTTTCTTCCCTTCCCAGGGTCTAGTTTTCAGCTTTTTCTCTCTTCTCTGTTCCTGGTTCCCATTTTTTTCTTTCTCATGGTTCTCCCCATTCCTTGTTTTTCTTTTTGCATTTTTTTCCTCATTTTCCTTCTCTGCCTCTTTTCTCTTATTAGCCCTTCCCCAGTTATTGTGGGGGGGGAGGGCTTCCCCCCTTTTTCTATGTATATTTCTTATGCCTTTTTAAAGTATTTCTTTAAATATTTTCCTTTATTTATTGCCTTCCATCTTTCTTTTTCTCTTTTTTGTGACTGTTCCTGTGTGTTTATGGTCCACTTGCTTTTACTTTTTTGATGGTTTTTGACTGTTGTTTTTGTCTAACTGAGTGGGAGACAGCAACTGTGCCCATATGACACAACCACACCTGCATCTCCTGCAGCTCCACTTACTGAATGAGAGCTACCACTTCTTTCTCCACCAACTGGCCAATGATAAATTACCACCGAGAGGAGCCTGACTCACCCTTAACTGCTCTTCACAAACAGTTAACAGAGATCTGTGAAGCCACTCTCATTCTCTATCACAACTACCAGGAGACAGATAGTGAGTACATAAGTGCTGCCACCTATTGAATAGAGGAACACAGTACCCTTCTTACTCTGATACAGACACAAAAAAAGAAAATGAAAATCTTGGGCAAATCACTCCAACATACAATCACCAATTAAATACAAATACAAATATAAATACAACAATGTCACAATGTCTCAGAGACAACAGACCATCACAGTTCACACAAAAAAGAAAGATAAAGTGGTGGAAACAAGAGAGCAGGATACAGACCCAGAACACATCCCAGAGGAAGAAGAAGCATTGGAACTCCCTGATAACGAATACAAAAGAATTATATTTAGGTACCTTCAAGAGATTGAGAGACAGATCATGGAAAACACTGACAATATTAAGGAAAACACAGACAAAACACTAGAACAATTTCAGAAGAAAATACAAGAACAAAACAACAAATGTAATATTAGAAATGATACAAGATCTACAGACATAAATCCAGAAGATTAATACTAAATTTTCAGAAATAGATAACACATTGAAAGGGCAAAGGAGTAGAATCAAATCAATGGAAGACAAATTAATGAGATTGAAGGCAAATACTTGAATCCTTCTTTGGAAAGGATCAATAAAAAAAAAAGATCAAAACAAAATGAAGGAAGCCTAAGATTCATATGAGATACCATCAAAAGGAATAACCTACATGTAATCAGAATTCCTGAACAGGAAGAGAAAAAGAAAATCACTGAGAAATTGGTCCCAAGATTTGTTGGAAGAGAACTTCCCTAATATGATGAAAGATGAGAATATATCCATTCAAGTACTCCAGTGAATCCCAAATAGGAGAGAACCCAGAAGAAAACCACCAAGACATATCATCATCAAACTCATCAAAACCAAAGACTAAAAAAAAAAAAAAAATCCTGAAAACAGCATGGAAAAATAAAAAGTTATCTACAAAGGGCAAGCAATAAGACTAAGTTCAGATTTCTCAGCAGAAACCATGCAGGCAAGAAAGCAATGGGATGGTATATATAAAACCCTACAAGAGAAAAACTTCCAACCAAGAATTATATACCCAGCAAAACTATCCCTCGAGTATGCTGGTGAAATTAGATTTCCAGATAAGCAGAAATTAAGGGAATTTGTTAAAACCAGACCAACCTTACAAGAGATACTAAAGGGAATCGTATGAACTGAGAACCAATAATACCAAACAACAACCAACAATTAATACACAAGATGACATATCCCAGAAACCAACACAGCTATAGATGTATCCAAAGTAAAATAAGCTTACAAGATCATAAACAGGGAACCAGAGACATCAAGTGGCAAATGAGGACAACTACAAATCAAAAAGAGAAAAAAATAGGGTAGTTACAGAACTTCAAAATGGTGAGGAAGTCAAGAGAGTTGCAAGATAGAATGGACTGTTCTAAACTTGGGGAGAAAATTATAAATCACAGGGTAACCTCAAAGGAAAATGATAAACCTTCACATCACAATAAAAAAGAGGACAAGCACAAATATTCAGCAAATACTAAAACAACAGCAACAAAGGAAATGATAACACAATTCATAAACATAATGAACTCAGCACAGAAAATAATATGGAACAAAGAAACCAGAAACACTAAGAAAAAATACATAACAAAATGACAGAATTCATACTTGTCAATGATTACACTGAATGTTAATGGATTAAATGAATCACTCCAGAGACAAAGAGTTGCAGACTCAACAAGATAACACAACCAATTAATATGCTCTATAAGAGACACACCTTAGAGACACAAAGACAAAAATAGACTAAAAATCAAAGGTTGGAAAATGATATAGCAGGCAAAAGGCAATCAAAAAAGAGCAGGAGGGGCAATATTAATTTCTTATCAAATTGACTTTAAGACAAAAACCACCATATGAGACAAGGAAGGACGTTATATAATGATTAAAGGATCAATTGAACAAGAAGCTATAACCATAATAAATGTCTACAGATCCAATGAAAGAGCCTCAAATACATAAATCAGACTTTAACAGAATTGCAAAGACAGATAGATGACTCCACAGTCATAATAACTCATTGCCATCAAGTCGGATCCAACTCATAGTGACCCCTCTTGGGTTTCCAAAGCAGTATCACTACAGAAGTAGATTGCCCAACCTTCCTTCTGAGGAGTGGCTGGTGGGTTTGAACCGCCAGTGCTCTAGTTAGCAGTCAAATGCCTTAGGCACTAAGAGAAGACTTTAATACACCACTTTCAATCAAAGATAGAACAACTGGAAAGAAACTCAACAAAGATGCAGAAGAACTAAACAATACAATCCACCAACTTGACCTTATAGACATCTACAGAGCCCTTCACCCAAAAGCACAATAGATACTCTTTTCCAGTGCACATGGAACATTCTCCTGGATAGACCATATGTTAGGCCATAAAGCAAGTCTTAATAAATTTTAAAACACTGACATAATGTCAAGCACCTTCTCAGATCACAATGTTATAAAATTACAAATCAACAACAGGAAGATCAATGGAAAAAAAGCAAACATATGGAGACTGAACACTACCCTCCTTAAGAATGACTGAGTAATAGAAGAAATTTAAAAAAAATCCTTGAATTAAACAAAAATGAAAACACAGCATACTAAAATCTTTGGGACAAGGCAAAAGCAGTGAACAGGGACCAATTTATAGCAATAAATGCACACAACAAAAAAGAAGAGCCAAAATCAACACTTCAAACCAACATCTCCAACAATTAGAAAAACAAAAGCAAGAAGAGCCTACAGCACCAGAAGAAAGGAAATAATTAAGATTCAAGCAGAAATCAATGAAACAGAAAATAGAAAGATGATAGAAAAAAATCAACAAGACTAGAAGTTGTTTTTTTGAAAAGATGAATAAAACTGCTAACCACTAGCAAATTTAACAAAGGAAAAGAGGGAGAGAATACAAATAACATGAACAAGAAATGAAATTGGCGACATCACAACAAAACCAACTGAAGTAAAAAGGATAATATCAGGATACCATGAAGAACTGTACTCCAACAAATTTAAAAATCTGGAAGAAATGGACAGATTTCTACTTACCTAAACTAACACAGACTGAGGTAGAAAAGTTGAACAGATCCATAACAA